ATAGGCATTCCAGAAGAAATTAGAGAGGAATCAATACATGAGGTTATGTTTAGTGATTATTTGTAGAAGTAATAATACTGAAATATTCATATTCAAGAATTATGAAATCTGATCACAATAATCTAAAGTATTCATCTAGTGGAGCATCATACAGCAATGAAAACAAAATACAACCACAGGCAGCTACTTGGAGCAATCTCACAAACACAGTGTGAAGCTCAAGAGCTGGACACAAAAGAGTACATATAGTATGCTTCCCTTAGATAAAGATAGGAGCCAAGCATGCTAGCTCACACCTGTAATCCCAGCTCTCTGAGAGACTGAGGCAAATGGATTGCAAGTTCAAGCTCACCCAGGACAACTTAGCAAGACTTTGTCTCAAAATAAAAAAGGGCTGAGGATATAGCTTAGAGCAGGAGTCCTAGGTTCAATCTGCATTACCCCAAAAATATGAATGAATGAATGAATGAATGAATGAATGAATGAATGAATACAGGAAACAGAAAAACATCCCTAGCATTTGTAGATAGGACAGTGATCACTTGGGAGAAAGTGGGCAGGTTGCAACTGGAGGCGATTATCATGCAAGGGTGCTTCTGATATTCTAATAATGATCCTATTCTTGATCATCTAGGTACTAGTTACATGGAAAATTTATATGTATGACTTTGTTACTCTTGTATGTATTGTATGCTCTAATAAAAAGTTTACACACAAAAATGTCCCAATTTAGATAGAGATAAGGTGGTGGTGTTACTGTTTCTATTTTGATAATCTTTCCAGCAAACTTAGATACTATTTTTCCCTGCCTATAGATGCAAAACTGAAGGCAAGAGAGAAGTGGTGTGATCGTGACAGGGTAGTACAGGTTGTAGGTAGCAGAGCCGAGCCCCTTGGCAGGTCTGATTGCACATTCACTCCTTTTCATAATTTCATAAGTAACTGTAGTTCTGGATTCTCTTAAAATACACCATATCTTGGGGAAAATAATCTTTTATAGAGATAAAATAAAGGAAAATCCTTTATCTTTGGTTACCTTGGTGAGTCAAGGCTAATTTTCAAGCCTATAGGTGAACACATATCTATCTCTGTCTGTGTGCTTTCATATTCTTATATCATCATGCTAGAGATTTGACATTACAAATGTATAAAACATTCAGGAATGTTTCATAAAAAGTAATATTTTAAATTTAATTACTTTTAAAGTAATTCATTTTTAATTTATATTTTCTTCTTATATCGCTGGAGTTTTGCCAGTTTTTGAGGTAGTCAAAATAGTCTTGTATGTAACAGTACTACTATAATTACTATTTATTAAGTATCTGTTATATGCCAGAGAATCAGCTAGGCATATTTTATTTATTTAATCCCTTAATATTAGTTATCCTTTCATTTAGTAGGTGTTCAGTAGCTCTTATACAGTTTATTTTATTTAAGTGCCCTTAACCTAATCTTGAAACTTTTATGAAACTGTAAGTATGGTTAAATCCAGTGAATGCAGACAGTATTAGGGAAGTCTTTGGGGGCTTAGCTATTATTTTTTATGAATTACTGTTCAGCTTGACAGCTGTCCTTGTGTTGACAGCTCTTGTGATTATAGCAGTTGTCAAACTCCATCTTTAGGCAGGTTGTAAATCCTGGCTTCTTCCGATTAAAACTGGGTCAGAGCCAATCACAGGTTAACTAGAGGCCAGTATTCTACTACTGTATGCCCTCACTAGTTCATGCTGAATGGTCTTTGTCTAGCAGCATATTAAAATCCTTGTTTGCCTATATTTTATATGTTTTGAGTCTTCAGATATTGCTCATCTTGTTATTTTTGTGATTAAATATGGTCTTTGCCGAAGAGTATATTGGTGTAAGTGTGGTCTTCCTTACAAATGACCCGTTAGCCTTCCCCTCCTCTTCCTCCATTGGGAATACTAATATCATTGCATCTGTGTCTCCCAGGGGAAATCAAGGCTTTTCCTTGCACGTGTGGTCATGTGATTGCAAAGTGGGCAGGCTTTGTATCCTCATGAGCCCACGGTCTTCCACGTAAAGCACCATCTGTTCTATTCCTTCCATGCTGTTGCAGGGCAGTGGGAGGAGACATTAGAGTGAAAATAAATAAAATAAAAAAGAAAGAAATTCATCATCAAAACCCTGAGGATTAATGGAGTCAGAGGCTCACTGCTCTGAATGAAAATTCATCTTCACCTGTGCCAGTGTCAGGGCTGCCTCTATGGCATTTGACAAATAGAGGTTCCCAGGATACCATAAATTCAGCAATAGTTCTAGTCCCTGTAGACTTGCTCAAGCTTTTCCAAGATGGGCTTATGAGTGTTTTTGTGTTTCCTGGCACATTGTGGGCACCATTATACCCCCTCATTAACTTGGTAAAATGTTAGCCCTCTCCTTGTCCTTCTCTCATCTTGCCCTTTGGTCTGAAGGGGTGGGAAGCTTACACATTTCTGAAAGATGATTCTACTCAGAATTGTACTTTACTGAAAAAGCTAAAGGTGGGGAAATCAATTAAGTAATGAATCTTGAACAGATTCTAAGTTCTCAGCACTGTGCTACATGGAGAGGAAAACAGGGAGAAAAGAAAAGAGAAAGAAAAAAAGACAGGGAGGGAGAGAAAGAAAAGAAGGAATGAAGAGAGGTAGGGTGGGAAGGAGGGAAGAAGGAAGGAAGGAAGGAAAGAAGGAAGGAATGTGATCAGATGATCAAGTAGCTCACCATCTAATTGGGGGTACCAAGTATATTTTTCAACAACTGTTGAGCATCGATATGTGCCAGTCTCCCACGGACACTGCAGGTGACCTATCAGGATAAATTCACCTGTCAGGCTTAAAAGGAAGGACCCCTTTCCTTTAAGTCAGTCTTGTCTCCTTTTTTTCTCTCTGCTATAATTTCCTGATTGTTTATACTGTTGTGAGAGTATATCATTGCATAAACCTCAGACTTGTTATTAAAATTTTGTTTATATGGATACCACATTCCTTACTCTGAAGTACTGTCTTGCAACTCTTAAATTCCAAATTTAAATCTCATTTTATAGTTAGACTTGAGCTAAAATTTCACTCACATCTGTCAAATCAGTAAATTGCCCAGTCGCATTTTCTTAGTCGGTTGGCTATAGTCTTCTAGATGTGGAATTTAAAAATTAAGCTCTGTTGCTGAGTTGGTACCCACGATTTTATCATATCTCACTGCCGGGAAGATCATTTCATCATACAGCATACATAAAATTAATGTCTCTTTGTCTGAAAGAGCCATCTTTCGAGGTTTCATCTATTGCACATATCCACTTATCCCTGATCTTCATGTTAAGTATTGGGTTAAATTTGAACTAAGTATGGTCTGATAGATTATGTTGGCTATTATACTGAAATACAGATTTATACACTGGGGAGTTTGTTCTTCAGATACCACTAAAAAGGTCTCAGTTTAAAATTTAACCAAACACTCCTCACTATAAGTTGAGACTGAAAGCTGTGGTATAAAGGTTAAGTGGTTACTGTTCAAAAAAGAGTTGTTACGTAGCTGATCCTACACAGGTTCAATCCCTTCTCACAGCTACCTGATACTAGGAAATGTACCTTTAGCTTTCTTCTTTTTTATAAGAGGCTCTTCTCCATGTAAATCTAATTTAGTATACAGGGATTCGTGGTTAAACTCTTCAGAAATTCAAAATAAAAACTTTGATTAAAATTATTTTGGGAATCAATTTTAAATTCTTAATGTAAGAGGTGAATTGAGATGTAGCTCAGTGGTAGAGCATGTTCCTAGCATGCTCTCCTAGCATATGTGAGACTCAGGGTTCAACCTCTAGCACCACCCAAAAGAAATAAAAAAGAATCTCAAAGGGATGTTATAACCTTAAATGCTTTTTGTAGCCTATAATGCCAAATTTTTATCCAGTGTAGCTACCCCAGTAGACGTTGAGAAGTCTAAAGAGAAGTTACCCTTGTTCTGGTGCTCCTCAAAGCTTGGCATTGTCATAGTTTTTAGTTTTTACAAATCAGTAAGTATGAAATGTTATCTCTTGGTTTTAATTTTCATTTCTCAGGTTACTAATGTGATTGTTCATCTTTTCATATGTTTATTGCCATTTATGTTTCATCTTGATTAAATGCCTATATTTGCCTTTATCCCAGTTGTCCGAGCCTCATCTAATTATTAAAGCTGTGATGCCAGTTTTGCCATAAATCAAGTTTCCATATATATGCAAAATAGATGGCTCTTTGTTGATCTGTTTGTATATCCTGGGCTAAACCATGCTCCATGGTATCTTTATAAGAAGTCTTAATGTCTGTAGGCCCCTCTACCCCATGATTTGGACTTACCTGTGACACCCATTGGTGATATTGTTTTTAAATTCTGTAGAGGAATGGTGTAATTACCAGTATAGTTTTTTTTTTCTTTTTTACATTTACAACTTACTTACTCATTCATTTACTCACCTACTTATTGCAATACCAGGAATTGAATCCAGGGCCTTCCCACTGAGCTACATGCTTTTTGTTTTGAAACAAAATCTCACTAAATTGCTATATTGCCCAGGCTGGGCTCAATTTACAAATTTTAAAGGTCAGTTAGTTATACATATACCTCTGCCCAAAGACAAAGCATAATGTTTTCTTTGACACTTAAAGTGCTTTTAGCTTTTCAATGTGTCTACACACCTATCATTCTGAAACATAGATGAAAGTAAAATAGATACTTACTGTATTTTTTATTCTTTGCCTTCACCCTGTCCTTAAAGAACAGGATTGTAAAGCAAAAAATGTGTTTGTGTGTCTGTTTTAGGCAACCAGAAAGGTAAATTTGATTTTCCTAGGATTTGAAAAATCCAGCATCATGCACTGTTCTCATTACAAAGCCTGATCATCCTTCAGCCATTGTAAAATTGTTCACTATTCGGTATTCCTCAGCACTCGCCTTTCTTACTGAAGTGTAGTAGTTTCTCAGTCTCACGGTAAACTTGTTTTCTTAGATGTCAATTTTCCTTTCAGCTGCTGCCTGTGAGTTTTTGGATATTGTGGAGCTGCTGCTCCAGTCTGGTGCTGACCCAGCTCTCCGGGACCAAGATGGCTGCGTGCCAGAAGAGGTGACAGGCTGCAAAGCAGTTTCTTTGGTGCTGCAGCGGCACATGGCTAGCAAGGCTTAATGAAAACCCTGGAAAACCAGTCTAATATGGGAGAGAGCTTCAAGGATGAAAGAAAGCTGCAGAAATAATACTTCTTTCACCAGTCATCTTTGGTATGCATTGGCTAATAAAATCAGTTCTGAGGATCAGAGATTTTGAAGTGTCAGCAATTCATTCTACATGCATGCATTCTGAGAAGTACAGTTTTGGTGATGAACATGTATACTGTGCATAATATAATCCAATTCTGCCAAGCGTGCTCTGAAATTTATCACTGTTCTAGAAGGTAGGGAGAGGAGGAGACAGATCATATTTCACAATATTAAACATGGCTCTTTTTTAGAAAACATACAGAAGCAAAATGTGCCCAACAGCACTGCCCTTACAGAGAAAGTGTCATGAAATCCTAGTGCGCAGATCATATGACCTTGTAGCATTGTCTAGGAAGCTAAAATGTTTATTGTTTTGTCAGACAGCGTTGGGAACATGAGAGAGAAGTCCTAAGAAAAAGAAACCAAAAGAGAGAAAAGGCAGAATTTTGTCAGATTAAGGTATCAAAGCATGGCAATAACCAAAGTTACTGGAAACCTAAAAACCTTGGGCATTTTAGGATACTACAGTAGTCAGTGACCTTAATCTAAGACTGAAACACAGTTTCTGGAACATTCACCAGTTAGGTCAGGATTCCTGAAACTTACCTTTACAAAATGAGAGAGGAATTTTGTAGTATACAGCTGCAGTCTCTGTAAACAGAGCTCAAGCCTGAACTTCTAGGCCTGTCTGGGGCTAATAGCTAATGTTGAATTTTTACAGCAGAGCTTCAGGTTTGTATTAATAACATAGGCACATATGCTACAGTTTCTGTCGCACACTTTATCTTTAAGTAGAAACTGTGATGTGCCACTGTGGTCCTCGGTTTTCACCTTTAAGTCTCAAGGATTCCATCTGAAGAATTCCTTGAGGTTCTTATCATCTATAAGGAAAATAGTTATCATAGGAAGAGAAGCGAAATGAGAAATGAGTGAAGATGCAAACATAACCATTTAGAAGATTTTTTTTGAGTGAGTGTTACTATTAAGATAGCAAGCAATAAACTTGCTCAGTAGAGCCCTCAACAGCAGAAAGAATTTCATTAGCTTGAACTAACCTGTCCTTATAAAACAGTCTCCCCCATAAAAGAAATGAGGCATATTAATTCTGTTTGTTTTATGATTTTTCTAGCCTAACTTCTTGCTTTCTGAGATGAAACCAAAACTATTCATCAAGACTATTCATTTTTTAAATAGTTTACAATCTGTCTGTGGAAGTGATGTGCACATTAGCAGATACTGAAATGTATTTCTAATAGAACATTTTCTGCATTGTCTGTTCTTTCACCACCATCCTAGTAACATTGCACTGAAATGTTCAGGTAAACTTGATCATGCTCCACGTTAAGGAAATGGTTCGAGAAACTACGCATCAGTCACAGCAAAAGTGACCATGATGTTGCATGCAGCTTATGTTTTGTTTGTTTTTCAGTGCCAGGAATTGAACCCAGGGCCTCATCCATACTACACAAGTGTTGTATCGCTGAGCTACATCCCCTGCCCTTTTTTATTTTGAGACAAGGTCCCACTAAGTTGCCTAGCCTGGTCTTAAGCTTGTAGTTGTTCTGCCTCAGCCTTTCAAATAGCTTGGAGTACAGGCATGAACACCACACCCAGCTATGTGCAGTTTTTAATTATTATTATTATTATTTTGTACATACTTGAAGGAATGGGACATGCTTTAAAAAAAAAAAAAAAGAAAGAAATATTGGGAATCTTTAAAGAGGCACAGGCTGAGAAGTTGGACTCCGATCTGTTTGACCTCTGATTCTGTGGCAGAACAGATACGGGCCCACATGTTCAATTCTGTGTGACTAATGAGGCCTTAGTATATGTGTTTAGCATTTTTTATTTTTCAGAATGCTTTCATAGGCATAATTTATTATCGACCCACAATTATCCTATAAATTTGGTAGAGCAAATGTTATAGAGTCTGCTTACATGAAGAAGAGTCAGACATAAAAGCAGATTAGTTCATTTGCCCAAGATCACAGAAATGGTAACCATACCACAACTAGAACCGGGTCTACTAATCCCAATCATTTCACTTAAACTACAGCACTTACTGAAGTTTTCAAGCCTTTCCTCCATCAACCCACAGATGCTTCCAGAAGAGTTACCAAATGACAGGCAGTAGCCTGGGCCAGTGGCACTATCTTGCCCATTAGCGTGACCATTTAGAGTTAACTAAACAGGTCTCAAGATACTACATGAGGTATTTTGAAAAGCCTCATAGAATTTTGAATTATCCAGAAACCAAATCCTACCCTCCTGTTATCTTGTTTGGAAATTTATTTTTTTCTCTTTAAAATTAAAAAAAAAAATTTAAACCAAATCCTTAAACCTGTTGTAACTGTATCTCTAATAAAGATATAAGGAGTCAGCAACTGGCTGCAATTTTATCTCTTATGCTTGTCAGGTAGAAGGTAACAACCAAAGTACAATATCTGGAATTCTATCTATTATATCTTTTTTTAATGTTTCAGCATTTTCCAGCTAAAAGGTTGCTATAATCCAGTGAACCTTTCTATTAAATAGGTATTTCTTAGCTTCCTGCCAGGTTTAACTACTTAGCTATAGGTTATTATTTCATGTACAGTACATGATCTCTAAGATTAATGAGTAAGGTATGTGCCTGTAGCAGAGTTGACCATGAGTTGCAGAAAGCTTTAGGATCCAGGCAAATATATGCTTCAGCTGAACATGAATACTTTTAAATGTTTACTTTTTAAATTAAAACATTAAGGCTTTTATCAAACTTTGAGGCACTTAAAAAAATCTCTTAATAAATGAATGAAGAGATTAACATAAATGTTTATCGCTAAATAGTTGTATAATCCACCAGCTCTAATTTAGTGATGAAAATATTGAGTTTAAATATGCATGAATGAATTTCAAATCCCAAATCCTGAGGTAATTTTGGATTACATATTTCATAAAAGTTATAAACTATATTTGAACAATTCTAAGATGCCAGTTTTTTCACATTAACATATCCAAAATCAAGTATCTTTTTCCCACAGTGGCATGCCATAGTTGAATTGGTAGTGTTTTCATTGGTTTTTTTTTTTTTCCCTTAATGATGCATAGATTAAAATACCTTCCTTTCCCCATCAGTAAAAAGCTCCCTGGCCCTAAAGCCCAAATCGAGGTATTTACAAGTTAGAAGCTGCTTTATAGTCAGAGCAAAATCTCTTGCTGAATTTCTTCATACAGATCTCAGAAGGAAAATTAGTCAGCAGGAGGGTTAAAAAACCACATGGGAGACACAGGGGGGGCCTCACCCTCAACAGGCGGTTTTCCCACAGTGGAACTCTGGACACTGAGCGCGGGCTTCTTTTCTAGGTGGGAACTGAGCATTGAACCTAGAACTACTGAATGCAGTAGCTGAGCTTGTGGGACTATAAAGGCATGAAGGAGTAAAAGGGGTGACTCGACTCAGCGGGCTGCCCACGGCAGCAGCAGAAAATTCATCATCTACACTGTAGCCAGGATTTATTTTCTCTCACTCATGTAGCAACCCTGGCTTCCATTTTAATATTTAGAAGGTGGGTTCAGTTGATGGACACGCTGTGTAATAAAAAGCTCTTTTAAAGTATGTGCAGAAGCACGCACACAGGATAAAAAGTGCCTCCACCGGTGCTCATGGCTTTCATGGAGTACATTTGTGAAGCCCAGAGCTTAGTCCTGGATATGTTTATAGCACTTTAGCTCTGTTTGTTAGTTTGGAACCTTTCCAAAAAAAAAAGAGAAAGACATATATTATTGTTTATAATCTGCTTTATTCCTCCAAACCTTGAGTGAACAGACTTGTGGATTGCTGTTTAAATCCCTCAGTGCCTTTAACTACCGATGCAGAAAGTGGTTAATGCGCATTCTAAACGAAGCTTGGCATCCACTCCAGGAAATCACTTTAATTGAGAAGCATTAAATGTTAAAATGATTTTTTTTAAAAAAGGCCAGCACACATACTGAGTATAAAAGTCCTGGCCACCAGTAATATAGTTTCTTGGTTATCATATGCCTCCAGCCTCGTGAGCTTTAAGCCCTGCACTTGACAGGTGTCGAAAAAGTGACTTTAATTCTCCAGGCCGCTGTCTGCAGACAGCCACCCATGAGCTGGCCAGTGAGCAGGCAGCCTTCAAGGACTCCACTCTAGAGGAGGGGAGTAGCTGTCAACTTTATGGATGTTTGTTTTCTGCAATAATAAACTGGTCCCGGGTGACTAAAATACGAGATTTAACCCCAAAGTCCTTGCCTGGGCTTTCCATTGCTGTGCAGAAGCCATCTGTTGAAACCTATTTACTATTTTAATGGCCTTTTAAAAAAAAAACCTGCTTGCTTCCAATTCAAGAGTGTGCCAAGACTACTTTTTTGGGTCTATATTTTATCTTTCATAAAGCGATACCCGGCCTTTCCCAAATCCCCAAACCCCTCCCAACCACAGGCGATCTTGGTCCAGGCTTGGCAAGCAAGAGGTATCCAATAAATCTTTCCTTAAAAAGCCCCTAGGGACAGCTCAGCCTGTGTCAGCCTTATAAACTGTGACCAGTTCAGTGGTCCACCGAGCCATCCAGGGTGTAAGTCAGTTATGTGCAGACGGTTTTCTCTTAGGAGGCCCTCTGTGGTCCTACTTTTGACCATATCAACATTTTGAGAAGGGAAAATGTGCATTTTGCCAGGTACAGCCCATGATTTGTTTGATATAATTGTAAAATAAACTAGTTTGTACATAGTATCTAAGTCTGATGTTTGTGTTTGGGGAAAGGACCAAAATTTTTTAAAATCACTGAAAGAAAAGAGTGTGAATGGGCAATCCTGAAATCACACTGGCAGAAATAGGAGAAAAGAGTGAATGAAAGGTGATAAAGAGATAAATGTTACATGCAAAAGCCCATGTCTGCTTTCTCTGAAAGGATGTAACATACTCTTCCTAGGGCAGGAGCCAGTTATTTAAAAGACCTATATGTAATAATTTGGATGTCTTTATGATCCCCTTGTCCTAGTGACTTAGTCCCATTTTATAAACATGGTCGTCCCTCTTCCTACCTGCATAGTGTTGCC